TTGGGTATTTTATCTCAGCAATGAGAAAAAAGTAACCAAGACACTAATTTTTGCTCTGATCTTCATAATTTCCTCCCTTGTCTTGGCTTTGGGCTTGACTTGCTCTTCTTTTTTCTAGAAGCTTGAGGTGCAACAATGGATTGTTTATTTGTGCTCATTCTGTTTTCCTGCTGTGAGAACTTACTGGTAAAAATTCCCCTCTTAGGACTGCTTTCATTGTGTCCCAAATGTCCTAGTATGTTTTCATCTTCATTTAATTGTAGATATTGTTTAATTTCTTCTTTAATTTAATATATTTCTCATTTTGGTTGTTTAGGAGCTTGTTATTTAATTTCCATGTGTTTGTGGAATATTTGCAATTTCTTTTGCCATTAATTTCCAATTTCATTGCACTATGGTCAGATAATATGCATGGGGCAATTTCAATTCCTTTGCACTTACTGAAGCATGTTCTATGTGATAGTATATGGTCTATTTTAGAGAACATCCATGTGCAGCTGAGAACAATGTATATTCTGATATTGTTGGGTGGAACACTCTGTAAATGTCTACTAAGTCCATTTGTTCAAAGGCTTTGTTCAGTTCTGATATTTCTTTGTTAATACTTTTGTCTAGTTGATCCATATCTTTGTGACAATGGGGTTTTAAGGTATTAGAGAACATCCCATGTGCAGCTGAGAGCAATGTGTATTCTGATATTGTTGGGTGGAACCCTTTGTAAACATCTACTAAGTCCATTTGTTCACAGTCTTGGTTCAATTCTGATATTTCTTTGCTGATACTTTTGTCTAGTTGATCTATGTCTTTGTGACAATGGGGTATTAAGGTCTCCTGTTACAACTGTGTTATTACTTATTTGATTTTTCATGTATATTAATATTTGTCTTATATAGTTGTTTGCTCCTAGATTTGGTGCATATATATTTACGATTGTTATCTCTTTCACTTGAAGAGATCAATATAGTAAAGAAATAGAATGCATGAAATGGATTCCAACAGTTATCCAGGAAATTAAAATTCCATTGTAATTTGGCAAAAGAAATGAAACTGAAGATAGACTTTCAGACCTTGAAGACAGGATCTTGACTAGTGATCACAAAAGGAAAGATCTCTTTAAAAAAAAATCAGGAAATAATTCAACAAGTGTAAGACAATGCAAAAACCAGTATAAGACTGATAGGTGTCAATGAAAAAGCAGGAGTCAACACAAATGACATAAAAAGACTATTTGCAGAAGTAATAGCAGAAAATTTCCCAAGCATGGGAAAAGAAACTCACATAAAGATAAGTGAAGCATATACAACTCCAATCAGCCATAACCAAAATAAATCTATACCTACACATATAATAATAAAGATCCCAGAAATTCAGCACAAGAATAGAATATTAAAAGCTGTTAGAGAAAAATATATGTAATGTTAACAAATGCAAGTACCATGTTTATCTTTTCATTACAAAATCCATTGCTATGAAAAAGGACATAAAATAATTCCTTTAGTATAAAGGAGCAAGATGTGATCAATATATATTTGAGAATACACTGAAGAAACATGATGTGACAGCATAGAATTATGAGAACATTTGAGAAGGGATAGGTGAATGGGAAACATAGGTCAATGGACAGAAAAGAATGTAGAAATAGATCTAACCACAGTCAGTCAATTGGCTTTATACAAAGGTACCTGGGTAATTCAGTGGGGAAAACATTTCATAAAAATTTATAATTGTCAACAACTTGATACAACTCAAAAATCTATCAAAGGTAAATTAGTGATTGTGCTATATTTATACACCAGAAGACAACTGAGTACTGCATTTTAAAGGAAGAACGGGGCTAGCACACATAATTACATGATTGAATCTATAGCTCTAGGTGTAGAGCTGAAGAAGCAAGTACAAGAGTACCACTAAGTGATTCCATTTCTATGAACTGCAAGAAAGGGCAAATCTAATGTGTAATAGTAGCAGTTAGAAATCAGATTAGTGGCAGGAGGTTGGAAAGTGATTACTGGTTCACAGTGAATTGCAAGGTGATATGATAGATTTGGGCAAGTTCACAGACTGCATTCAAAACTCCTTCAACTGTACACATAAACTGGGTGTTTTCTTGTAGGTAAATGCTAGTTGAAGAAAATGGAAATTTACATGTAAGAGTTCCTTATTCCCACATTCTTGCTATTGTCATAAAAAGTTAATCACTTATAAAACTGCTAAGTATATAGTCATTCAATGTTCACTTGGTGTTTTTCTTTCTAAATGTCCTATTAGTATATATTTGGATATATAATAAATGCATTAATTGTGCAGAACTTGTACATATGACACATGTGGCATCTTTTAACTGACCTCTCCCCTTCTCTCTTTCTCTGACTTCTCCACCAGCTCCCTCATCTCCTTCCACTGACTGGTTTTCAACTTTATTTGTCTTAGTTAACTGTGAAACTAAACATCTTTTTCATATTGTTTACTAGTTTTTCATAAATATTACTTGTACATTTTTCTGTACAGTTGTTGGTTTTACTTTTATTAGATTATAGGAATTCTTCTATGTTTGGAATTTTAACTTGTGTCTCTTAAAATGTTTTTCTTGAACAACAGAATATTAGCAGGAACTGGGCAATAAGACAGTCTGCCAGTTTGCACAGTCTCTGTGTGAGGTAGGAAGTTCTTCAATTCCATTTTCAACCTATAAAACAGACATGGTATCTTCCCTTCTGACATGGAACTGTCATGATGGTAGAAAAAAAACACAAAATTTCATCAGTCCAAAATACAAACAGAGGCGATATGTCCTTTAAAATTGACCTTTTTTAGTCTGTAGCTTTTTTTTCTCATTATTAGAAAGTACAATGAAAATTCCTGGGTATTAAATACATTGTTGGTAAACCGAATACAATATTGTGGCAGAAGGGTTACAAAAATTCATTAAGAATCAATCAAGTCAGGAAATATTTTATATGAGAAAATGAGGGAAGATATTTATGAGAAAATAATATAAAATTTTATGCAGGAGAACACATATAGGAGATTTAAAAGGGAGCAGAAGGGTAAGAAGTTTGATTTATTGAGATGTACAGAGATTATAAAGCACTACTTCAAAACGATACCACAGACAAAGCCAACTACTTGATAAAATATGCTCTTGGGATTATTTTATTTAGGAATGTAAGAAACAGAGATCACATAAAATGTACCTTTTACACTGTTTTTCCAGAATCACCTGGGCAAGACAGAGAGGAAGGCATAGCTAGGTCACCAAGGCCCATTACTTAAATCACTCAGATAATTTTCTACTTTTTCTATATGGAACAATTATATAGTATGCTTTTAAACAGATACTCCATGGTGAGGGAGGAAATCTGAATTAATATTCCAATACAAATACCAATATAATTATTGAGTAATATTATGCAAAAATCTCAGTGTTATCATGAAAAACAGGAGAGCATTTTCTTCTTATGAATAACTCTTCCCAGGGCTCCCTTCATGTCTCTGTTCCTCAGGCTGTAGATGAATGGATTTAGCATGGGAGTCACCACAGTGTACATCATAGCCATGACTGTCTCCTTCACAGTAGAATTATTAGATGATGGACATAGGTAGAGGCCAATGATTGTCCCATAGAACAGTGACACCACAGAGAGGTGAGAGCCACAGGTGGAGAAAGCCTTACAAATGCCTTGAGCAGAAGGGACCTTAAGGATGGAGGAAAAAATCTGGACATAGGACACGATGATGAGTAGGAATGGGATAATAACAACTAGCCCTCCCATGATAAATATCACTAACTCATTAACATGTGTGTCAGAGCAGGCCAATTTCAGCAGAGCAGACAAATCACAGAAAAAGTGGGGGATTACATTGTCCCCACAGAAAGACAGTCTTGCAGTGAGCAGAGTGTGCAACAGGGCATGAAACATGGTCAGCAACCAAGACAGCGCTACCAGGCACACACACAGTTTGGGACTCATAATGTTGGTGTAGTGCAGTGGGGAGCAGATGGCTACATAGCGGTCATAGGCCATGGCCACAAGCAGAAAGCTCTCCAGATCTCCAAAAAATAGGAAGAAGTACATTTGGGTGAGGCAGCCTTCATATGGGATGGATGGGATTTGCCTCTGCATGTTTTGCAACAGCTTGGGAATGGTCACAGATGAAAAGCAGAGGTCAGAGAAGGACAAGTTTCTGAGGAAAAAATACATGGGTGTGTGGAGATGGGAGTCCAGTTGAATGAGAAAGATGATGATGCTGTTTCCTAGGATCGTGATAAGGTACATGGCGAGGAACAAGGCATAGAACAGGTGTTGGTGCTCTGGCTGAATAGGCAGACCCAGGAGGAGAAACTCTGAGAGGATGGTTTGGTTATTTTCCATTCTTGACTGTGTCCAGTGTCTTTAAGAGAATGTAATAGGGTTCCTTCAGTCCAAAGAAAAATGGACATTTGTGTACAATACACAAGCTGTTAAGTTCCCAGCAAAATTCTTTATTTCACCTTCATTAAAGCAACTTTAATCTCTCTACCACAGATGTCTACAATTTGAATCTTCAAAATCAGATCTGATTTATTTCTTCACTTCTCTTTAAAGTGAATTAGAGAAAATGAATTAAGTGCAGAATCTCACCCTTGCTACACTGGATGTGGATGGCTCTTATCTACTTGTTTCTGAAAGACAAAATATATGGGTCTGTTCTATCTGCTGGGAGGGTCATCCTCAGTGATTACTGTTGGGTCTTGCTCTTTCAATTTCTGACTTGGCAATGTCAGGGATTTATCAAAACACTGTGCTGCTCTATTTCTACATTTCTCAAGAAAACTTCTTGATCTTTGTTGGCTTCAAGTATCACTTAAAACTTGGGTGTAGACATTTTTCTAACCTACATAGCTCTGCATTATAGGTTCAATAATTATCTTTCCTTAAAGTGCAGCAGATGTCAAGTGAAACTTATGACCTCAATCTATTCCTCTTCCAAACCCATCCACCTCCACTTATTCATATTTAGCAATAGGAATTCAAGCTAAATAAAAAATATAAAGATTTATTTCCTTCATTCATTTCCCTCACTGTCCACATCCAATGTAGCAAGGCTGTTGAGTCTGTACTTCATTCATTCCTCTAATTCATTCACTCTTTAAACGTTACCCTAAACCAGACTGACCTTTAACTCACTGGGACTACTGAAACAAACTCACAATTTACCACTCTGCTTGTGTGTTTCAGTACCTTTCACACCCCACAACTTTCTTTCACATTGTAAAGAATTTAATGTGAAAATATCCTTCTTCCTCTTTTCCAGTACAGTACTTTGGCATATTATCACTCTTCCTAAGAAAAAATTCCTTCCAATGACATAAATGACATTTCATTGTTTGACCTGCTCCAGCCTCCACAACCTCAATTGCTCACACAATGAATCTCACCTTCCCTTCTCTGGCAATGCTCACTTTAAAGCCTTTCTTGCTTGCAGTCTGCCTAGCACTCCCTCCCTCCTCCTCACTCTTCCCCTTGCTTGCCCACACTTGTCCTTCATGTAGGTCTTGTGTGACTTGATCAGCTGAAATTTGCGTGTCTCTCCACACCAGATGGGGCTGGCTGCTCCGAGCATCCTATACTCATTTTGTTGCTCTTCAGTGCCCTTGATCATTTGATTATAGCTGACTTCCTACAAGATTAAAAACTCCACGCAGGGAAACTATATCTGCCTTCAGGACTACAACACCTGCCTTGGTGGCTGGATTTAGCCAATATTTTATTAATATTTGTTACCTCTCCTTCAGGTTGAGATATACATTCCTCTACCTTTAAAAACAGCACAACTCTATCAACTTTGAGTAACTACTACTATTAATTCCTCTCAGGACAATAACTGACCAGCTTTAACTATGTAACTCCAAAGTTTGATGCTCTTAAAATTTTATGGATTTAATTTTGCAGACATGGAAAATATTATGGTACCTCAGACATACTACACATTTTACTAATTCAGATGAATTGGTCTAAACATCTTTATGCTTCATTCCATCTGATATAGTTGATATTGATTTGTCAAAATAAGAATTAAAGGCAATTTTAGAAATGGTGGGAGAAACAAAAAATTGCTACTCTTAAGCTCTCATTTGATTTTTTTCTGCAATATTCATATCTTTCTGCAATATTCAAATCACGTTAAATTTTATGTGTCAACATGAACAGGTCCTGGTACCTAGCTTTAGTTAGGATATTTAATCTAGATATTTTGTAATGTGATTAGCCTTCAAAATAGTAGGCTTTGAGTAAAGTAGATTACCCTTCATTATGTGGTGGGCCTTATATAATCAACTGAACATCCTAAAAATAACCATTGACTCTTCATGAAGAAGAAAGAATTTTTCTGTAAACTACTTCAGACTCCAGATAACAATGTCAGCTTTCATTGTGTATGGGTCCAGCAACATTCTGTGTAGATTTCAGACTCGTCTATCTCCATATACATGAGAATTAATTTCTTTTTTGAATTTTATTAGTATTGTACATGTTTTCAGTTTATGCAATTTCCTAAAATCAATCTTTCTCAGCCTCTGTCTCTCTATCTAACTCTCTCTGTTTAGATTCATATATACATTATCTTGTTTTATGTATGGTGTTGATTTCTGGAAAACCTTAACATCACTGGTAGATGCTGCAACTGATGATGCAATGAGCTTCCTACCTCCCTGACCTATGAAATCAGAAGTCTTCAATCTGGAGTCCATGAAAGAATCACACAGGGCAGTGTTCATGCAAACCACAGGTTCTGATTCTACAATTAGGACTTCACATTTTTATTTAGCACCCATATAAAGTCAATGCTGTGGTAGATGGAATGACTTGGAATAGCAAGGACATATCCATTGCCTTTAAACTACACCCTATTGGGTTCTCGAGGAAAAATGTACTCACAATGTGTGAAAGGAAGCCTGACCACATTTTTAAATGTTCCACAGATGATTATAGATAAAAATTTTGCTTAAGAACATGAAGTAAAAGCCTTTCTATCTCACATAGCTGCCATTATATTGAAGTGACATACAGTGATCTTCTAAGAATATATTGCTCAATGATATTAACTAATGCTACTTTTAACAATTACAACTGACAAACATTAAAGAAAATACTAGTAAAATATTACCAAAGCCTAAGAGATAGGTTAAGAAGAGAAGAGGTGTCACATCTAAAACACTATCCTGCAGAACATTATACAATCTGGGAAAACAGTGCATTCAGGTTGGAAGAAAATTAAATGTCAGATATTCATCATCCTTCTCAACTTACCTAGGATGCCTGAGAGATACTCTAAGGCTTTCACTTGAGATCCCCATCTCTTTATTCAGTACAGGCATGTGAAGTCATGGCCAGCATAATCATAATCAGTGTCTCACTACACATCTTTCATTCTACCCATCCCTGGGCCTCAGGAACCTACATCCCAGAGGAGTTCAGCTGGAATAACTAATTAGAGACAAAGTTATTACCCAGGACCACACTAGGTAATACAGGTAATACTGTCATAGTCCTGCAGCAGGGACCTATTACAGCCACTGAGTACACCTGACTTTATTTGAGAGAATGTGGGGATGCACAAAAGCTCAGGGATCAATGCTTGATTGTTGCTTTAAGAGCTGGCCAAGAGTCTTCTGTGGCTGGAATGTACTTTTAGGGAGTGAAGAAAAGTGGCTGGAAAAACCATTAATCAGGGAATGGCCTGAATGATGTAAAATATTTTAGAAGTATTGAAGTTTACACAGGACATCATCCATGGTTTTGAAGCAGTGTATCATGATGAAAGACACTTGCTCTGGAAAGATTCCCAGGTCTCAGTCTCACACTACACTACTTGGTGTAAATGGCCTCTAGGAAGGATGAATAATTCTGTTAACAAGGATCAGCCCTCCATGGTCTAACATTCTAAATACACCAATAGATGAAAAGGAAAGAAATGCAAGAAAAGATGAACTCCTGTTAATGCCATGTCCTTCCTGTCACTGAAATGTATCACAAGGCTACAGCTGACATTCCTTCTTCTACTACCCATTGCAGATTCCTCCTGTATGTGGCAGTCATTAGCTGAACATGTTTCTTTACCTAGTGACTTCCATTTTCATTCTTCAAAATTTTCATTCTCATCAGTCTTCTATTTACAGATTTCATTAATATTTATTTTTGGATATGTAAACATTACATGATTCCCAAGGAATTCCCCAAGATTTCAGATACTGACCTCCTTGCTCCAGTTGTGTAGACCCACCAAGCAGTCCCATGGTAGTTTGTATCAATACCTCTAGGTAGGGCTGGGGATTTAGCTCAGCGGCAAAGCGCCTGTCTGGCAAGCGCAAGGTCGTGAGTTTGGTTCCCGGTACCGGAGGGGGGAAAAAAAAAAAAATACCTCTAGATAGAATGACATATTTGTTCTTTGTATATTGGTTTACATAAAAAACCAAAAAGCTGACTCACTTATAGGCTCAGCTTCCAATTCATTGAAACTGTTGTTATGTCTCATGGCAGTAACACATCCTTTGAGAACGTTTCTGGGGAATCTTGTAGGTTCTGTCAGCCTCATCCCTTATTTCAGATATGGCTACAGAAACCTGTTGTGCACTGACTTCAGTCAGCTTTACTAGATATAGCCTGACACAGCTCCCTTCAGTCTTTCCCTCCATGATGCTTGAGTTTTGCTCTGTGACTTCTCTGACTTTACAGAGAAAGAAGTCACGGAGAACCTCCTCAGCACTCATACAAATATAAAAGTTTATAATCTATATTGAGTTAATTTAGAGAATGACAAGGTTGAGTTGATGTTCTTTTTTTGAATGTGGAAGTTGATTTTTCCTGTACCATTTTTTGCAAGTGAATATTTCACTGAGTTGCCTTGTATCTGTGTTAAAAATCAATGTACTATATAGAAATGTATCCATTTCTGGACCGTATGGTATCCTATACTCTCAGTTCTTAAGTATACTCTATCTTTTCTCTAGTATCACATTTTCCCTATTGTTGTCATGTAATAGACTAGAAACCAAAAAATGTTAATTTTCTTACTTTGTTCTTCCAAACCAATTTTGATTTGTAGTTTCTTTGCCATCACATACATTTTATAAACATATTATCAATTGTACATAAAATTTCCGATTGGAATTATGATTTGAATTTTGTTGAATCTCAAAATAAGTTTTAGAAGAAGCACACCTTAACAATTTTCAGTCTTTCAGTCCAGGAAAAGGGTATCTCTTTCCATTTTTTAAATCTTTGATTTCTGTTACTAGAGTTTTATAGTTTTATCAATATACATATTAAACATACAGCACTCCTTGCTTATCTCTGCTTTTGCTTTCTGTTGTCTCAGTTATATCAACACAAGC